AAATTACCAAACTGCTAGGTTTAAGTGCTGTGGAAAAAAAATAAAGCAGTGTAAGAGGATCAGGTGTGGTACGTATCCAACTGTGTGTGTGGATATGGTGTGTGATATATGGTAAGGCAGGTTCCAGTTTTAGTAGAGTGGTTAGGGTAGGTCTAATCATGAAAGCATTAAGCAGACAGACATAAAGCTCTCTGGGGGAAAGATGTACACAGCCAAAGGACAGCCAATGTAAAGGTGCTGAGGCCCCATTTGATTCTAACAAAACAATCTTGTGAGAGAGATAATACACCATTTAGCAGGTGAGTAAACAATGTCTCAAGGCAACTTAAGCAAGGGAATGGAGCTAGTAAATAATAAAGCTAGAGCTGGAATCCAGGTTTCTTGACTCTTCGTCCAATGCCTTTCTTTTGTTTTCTCCCTCTGTTCACCAGGCACAGAGGAAGGTGCCCTGTTTCTTAGAAAGCACCGTATAAACATCAAGTTTCATTGCTATTGTGGTGGTGGTGGTGATTGTGATCATTAATCAGTTCCATGATATTTCTTTGTTAGTATTTTTTAATTTATGCATCACAGTTGTACATATTTCCAGGGTACATGTGATGTTTTGGTCCATGTATAAAATGTAATAATCAAGTTAGGGTAACTGGAATATCTATCACTTCAAACATTTATCTTTTCTTATGTTAGAAATATTACAATTCTCATCTAGCTATTTTGAAACATACAACAAATTGTCATATAATTTCTCTACTGTGCTACAGACTACTAGAATCTATTCCTTCTGATATTTCCTGAAAGGAAAATAAAACTCAAAGAATGATTTCATCTTCCCTTCCCATAGCTTATTTTTCTCCTTTATCTGTGCTTCTTTTCTTGAATGGATCATTTTACTATCAGACTATCAGTGAAAGTAATTATACTTCTCTGGATATTTGACAAAGGAAAGGTATTAAGGTATAAATAACCTATAAAATAGAAACCATTTCTGACAACATGAAATAGTGCTGAGGAAAGAATGGAGAGAATGTGGAGCCCAGTGATTCAGCGAGAGATACACATTTTCCAAGAGACAGGAAGTAAGAAAGTTAAAACAAAGAGTCTACAAAAGAGGAAATCTGTAGAAAAGGCAAAAATGGTAGCAAGGGGGCTCAAGGGGTGGAGGAAAGAGATTTTGAAATATTTTCAAGTAAAAATATGAGAATATTAGACAACAAACAATATAAAAGAAAAAAGAGAATAAGAATCAGATTTCAGACACAGTAGACTGAAGAGCTGGTGGAATTACTAACAGCAAAAGGGAACAGAGAAGAGAGTCTGAAAGACGAGTAGCTTTCTTTTTGTAATGCTGGGTTTAAGGTGGCAGTGAGGTTCTCACTAGTGGAAAGAGTGTTAAGAGCTTTAAGAGGTAAACTTGGAAGTTGTGTACAATCTAGAGCTGTTTGTCGAATACGGTAGCCTCTAACCACAGGTGAACACTGAGCAACTGAAATATGGCTAGCCTGAACTGAGATGTGCTCTAAGCATAAAATACACATTAGATTTTAAAAATTTTCTATGCAAAAAAAAAGAATGTAAGAATATTGTTCTGTATTGATTACATGTTGAAATATTTGCATGGATTGGGTTAAATAACATTATTAAAACTAATTTCACTTGTCTCTGTACTTTTTAAATGTGATTAGTAGAAAATTGAAAATTATATATGCAGCTTATGTTATATTTCTATTGGACAGCAATATTAGTTATATATTAACATCACAAAAGGGACAGAGACATCATTCTGAAGTGTCTCAACTAAACATAGATATGGGAGAAAAAAGAACACACATCATTATAATAGTTACTATTTACCAAGCACGCCAAGCACTATGCTAGACACATGAAGAGCACTATCTTATTTGTTCCTTCCAAAAACCTTATTAAATATTATCATCTTTTACAGGATAAAACACTGAGGCCCAAGGTCATACAGTTAAATGCAGGTGTCAGGATTCAAGTCCATCAATGACGCCAGATCTCAGGTTCTAAACTGTCACATAAATTTCAGAACAAGTTACACTCTCCAATTATTAAATGGTTAGATTTTAAATGTCATATTTAAATTAACTATTTATTAGAATAGTTCATTGTCAAAGTCAGTTATGTCCCAATTCAATTAAGAAGAAAAGCTACAAATCTGTAACTTTAGAATTATGATGAGCTACTGATGCTGGCATATTTTCTCCACATTGGGCCATTAAAGAAGTTTCTGGTGCAACTTCTTTCCGTTTATCAGTGTCTACTCCCAGAAATGCAAACCTGTCAAGTTAGATGTTACATACCCAACTGTCCAACTGAGATGATCATCCACCTAACCCTGAATAGCAGGCCCCTGTTTTCTGAACATAACTAGATACATAATATCTACTTGACCCATTTTCAACATTCTCTTTCAGACCACGAAGGCACCTCAATCTCCCAAACTGACTAAAACGTTTTCAAGGAAGCTAGATTAAATGGAACCCTTGTTGAAGAACCAAAAATTAGGCTTACCCAACTGGATACTTTAAAAGTGGATTTTGTACTCCTTGAAAATGCTATACGTTTGATCCCAGCACTTTGGGAGGCCGAGACGGGTGGATCACGAGGTCAGGAGATCGAGACCATACTGGCTAACATGGTGAAACCCCGTCTCTACTAAAAAATACAAAAAACTAGCCGGGCGAGGTGGCGGGCGCCTGTAGTCCCAGTTACTTGGGAGGCTGAGGCGGGAGAATGGCGTGAACCCAGGAGGCGGAGCTTGCAGTGAGCTGAGATCCGGCCACTGCACTACAGCCTGGGCGACAGAGAGAGACTCCGTCTCAGAAAAAAGCTGGATACTTTGGAATCCTAGGAATCCTAACAGTAAACTCTCCTACAAATATAAAGTGAAGTCAACAAGGTATCTTTCATTTATCTTTGGTTGGTTCATTGGTTTTAATTTCAAAGACAAACTTATCTTTCTTTCCTTTGTACCTTTAATTTCTACTACCTACCTGGGAAAGATGGTAACCACAGAAGTGCTGAACTTGTATAGTCATAGCTATAATTACATAATTTTCAAAAACTTACTCATGTAAATGTTATTAAACAATTTATTTCCAATTAATATCTCCAGACTAATTTTTTAAAAACCACTGCCATAAATCCACATTATAGAAATAGAAAAACAAAAGGAAATTTGGAAGAAAAATATTTATTTTGGAATAGTAAGACTAACTGGCAGAGATACCTTACAAGATAGTTCACATTGGACATGTATTCAAAAGGGTGACTTTCTGAAGTGACCCACTAATTTCCTTATCAATTCAACCCCCTAACTTTACTACTCCCTGCCCATTTTTTTTTTTTTAAGCAATATGATTTCAGCCCAGCACAGTGGCTCACGCCTTGTAATTCCAGCACTTTGGGAAACCGAGGTGGGTGTTGATCACTTGAGGTCAGGAGTTCAAGACCAGCCTGGACAACATGGTGAAACTCTGTCTCTACCAAAAATACACAGATTGGTCTGGTGTGGTGACCTGCGCCTGTAATCCCAGCTACTCAGGAGGCTGAGGCACAAGAATCACTTGAGCCCAGGAGGTGGTGGTTGCAGTGAGCCGAGATTGCACCAGCACACCAGCCTGGGCGACAGAGTGAGACCCTGCCACAAAACAAGAAAGAAAAAAAAGTAATACAATTTGGATTTGGGTATTTAAAAAAAAATTCCTCTGAAGACCCAAAGTTTCTGAGAAATACTTATCTAAACAGGAAGCATCACACTTGGGCAGGATAAAGCTTTCAAGAGCTTGCCCTTGATTTTAGCTCTTTTGGGTTAACGTTCCCATGACTTTTCTATTCAGCTAAAGAGATTTCCTTGAACTTGTTCCCTTACTCACTACAATTCCTACCTACACTTTAAGACAAAGCTTCAGAGCCCAAAGGAAAGAGCCAGCTGTCCCTAAAAATGCTTTGTCCACTCTGATGCCAAGGAGCGAAGAGCATGAAGTGACAGACCACGCACAAGAGACAGCCACCTAGACTCGTCGTTGAAGGTTGCCAAAATCGGGTCTCTCCTGTCGGGGAGTATCTCCCTCCTCCCAAACTTCACTTGAGACTCTCATCATTACAAATGTCAACTGTATAATCTTTGCAGTTGCTCCCCACTTGTGCATTAGCATAAAGCAGCTGCTTTATTGGGTTAATTCAAAAGAGTTACCAAGTACCTACTGTGCGCCTGGCACTGCTGTAGGTACTGAAAATATAAGAGTGAACAAAATGACAAAAATCTCTGTCTTCCTGAAACTTATATTCTGGTAGAGGACACGTTCAAGAAACAAGCTAAAGAAACAAAATATGCAGTACGCTAACTAATACATGCTCAAGAGACGACGAATTAGGCAGGCGAGGGGAATATACAGTGGTGGGCGGGGTAGGAAAGGTTGGAATTTTAAGATTAAGTGGTCACACATAATCAGGCAGATAGTATGTGCCTAAAAGGGTAGCCAGAGCAAAATCAGATGGAGTGGGGAAGAGAAAGGAAGTGAGCTTATTTTAACAAGCCCTGAAGTGGAGAGAAAACCCTACGGGAAGAGGGAGAGGCAAAGAGTGAATAGGGACCACTGAAGACAAACTCGGATTTCACATTTTGCCTAAACACCAGTCTTTTGAGGATGGCACAACAGATGTTCTCCCTTTGTAACCAAAGAACCAGGCTCTGCTGCTAAAACGTCCATCGGACACGGGTGAACACACACACACGCGCGCGCGCACACACACACACACACACACACACACACACAGAGCTTACTGCCGAGGAGAAAGAAGCGTTACTAATCCAGAGTGGAGGACTGGCCTGGGAAACCCGGCAGAGAGAGGAGTTGTCGGAAACAACACACCAGAAGCCCCTTCAAGCCCAAACACTGATAGAAACCCAGCCCCCTCCCAAGCCAATCTGCAAACGCAGGAGGAACCCACGAGCGCGCAGACACACCCCCGGGGTGCAGGCGCGGTGCAGGGAGGAGAGGGGCAGGAGCTTGACCGTTAGGGCCCAAACCCCAGAACTCCCGAGGCAGGGTGGGTGCCGCGCGCGGGAAACGCCGTTCTCCGCTCCAGGCGCCGGCGGGCGGCGGCGAGAGCAGGTTCGGGGGACCGGAGGGTGGGCTGTGCGCAGGAATGGCCGCCGCGAAGGAGTAGCGGCTTCTTCGGACATTCCGGGCATCCGGCCCCGTGCATGCAACAGGGGGCTGGGCGCGAGCGGGCGCCTCGAGGTGCCGGGGCGGGACCGGGGAGCGGGGACCGAGGCAAAGTTCCCGAGACCCGCGGGCCTCGGGCCGACCCGCGCGCCCCCGTCCCAAACGCTCAGCGCCCGCTCCCCAGGCCCGCGCGGACCCGGCCCCTCCGAGGGCAGCGGGTTCCAGCGGCGAACCCGCAGCGCCCGCGCCGCCGCCCGCTTGGCCCTTTCCCGCCCGGTGCGTGGGTCCAGGAAAGAAAGAAAGAGCGGCGGTGGCGGTAGCGGCGCGCGGCCCCACTCACCATGATCCGCAGCGGCTGCGGCGCGGCGACCCGGGCGGGCGGCGATGCGCTGTCCAGGGTAGCCCGGTCCCTCTGCCCGGCGCTATCTCGGCGCCCGCGCCGGTTACCCCCACCCACACCCACGCCCGGCGCGCGCACGCCCGCCCGCGCCTCCCCGCCCCCTCGGGCTCGCGCCGCCGCCGCGCGGCGCTCCGAGCCTCGGGGCCGTTTCGTCCCCGCCCCCTCTCCCACAGGGGCCTCGCCTGCCGCCGCGCCACGAGGGCGCGCGGGGGAGGGGCGCAGGGCAAGCGAGGCGGTGCCCCCCTCCCGTGCGGCCTCGCGCGCCCCCTCCTGGGAGACCGATCTCGCCCTCGCGTCGGCGGCGTCCCCTGCCGGCCGGGCGGCGATTTGCAGGCCCAGCCGGCGCCGGTTTCACGCGGCGGCTCAACGTTCGCGGAGCCCCACGAGTACCCACCCGCTGGTCAGATCGGCGGCCGCTGCCGCGGGGAGAAGCAGTAGCGTGTAGGGCGGGCACGCTGGTCCTGCTTCCAGTTGGGCTTCGGTGGGTTTGAAGCACACATTAGGGGGAAATGGCTCTGTTCGTGCAGGTTTGCGGAGTCAGGGTTCCTTAGGTTTAGGGGGTGGGGTGGGTTTCTCTGGGGGTGCGTGGGAAGCGGATCAGTTCAGATAACGGCCCTGAGCAGGAGGCTCTGTCCCCCTCCCGGCCTGACGCGGGGCTTCCAGCAGACACCGCCGATGGTGAGCGCACCCTCTTCACTGTGAACAGAACGGTGGCCTCCTAGAGCCTGCGCTTCTAGTTACTTTATTTTTGTGTGTGGCCCGAGGGAAAGACGTCGGAAAAATTGGACTTGCCTGAGTATTACCTGAACTTTCCTCCATTTCACCCTTAAGCATGGGAAGTTGGCGGGCGTGGTGGCTCCCTCCTGTAATCCCAGCATTTTGGGAGGCTGAGGCAGGCGTATCACATGAGGTCGGGAGTTCGGGACCAGCCTGGGAAACATAGCGACACCTCACCTCTTAAATAAAAAATACAAAAATTAACTGGGTGTGGTGGCCCACGCCTGTGATCCTAGCCACTCGGGAGGCTGAGGTGGAGGATCGCTTGAGCCCACGAGGTCGAGGCTGCAGTGAGCCGAGATCGTGCCACTGCATTCCAGCCTGGGCGACAGAATGACACCCTGTCTCAAAAAAAAAAAAAAAAAAAAAAAAAGAACTTGTGAGGCTCATGTGGTATACATGTTTATTGGGGCTGAGAACAGCCCGTGTGGCTGTGCACGGAGGTACCTGTACCATACACTTAGCATCCCACACCTGGGACGGGCGCCCTTGCAGAGTTTTGTGCAGTAGCAGAGTGAGTACCAGGGCTAAATCTTAACCGTCCTACAATCACCTAATATGTCGTTTCCTAATAGAGAGTTTTTCTTCCTAATATAGAATTTCCGTGGCTGAAGTGGTAAAATTAGGCACATACTTGTTTATAAAAGGCGGATGATTTTATGACCATAAACAGGTAGGCTAACCTAGTCTGATAAAAATCTCAGGAGTCAGCTCTACCACATACTGGGTGTGTGGCATTGGGTTGGTTACCTAAACTCTCTGTGCTCCAGTTTCCTGATCTACAAATTTGGGATAAAATAGCACTTAACATTATATGCAGCTGTTAGGGTTAAATTAATATGGGTAAAACTCTAGAAAAATATCTGGTACAAAAAGTACTAGTTATTGATTTGTTATCAATTTGATGCATTTGAAAATCAGAAAGTGACATTCTATTGAATGCTGGCAAATTTTTATAAAAAGTGTGGCCCAAATCAAAGATACAATTTGATTTCAGCTTCACTTACTTTGTTCACTCAGCAAAGATTTCAGTGCCTACTATGTGCTAGGCATTTTGGTAACTGCTAGGTTTACAGTGATGAAGAAAAACACAGTCCCTGCTGTTAGGAGGTTTTAGAACCTGTGATGATCTATATTATGGATATTGAGAGACTTGAAGGAAATTCACACAAATAGTCTCCAAATATTGTTTTTCCTTGGAATGATTTTCTTCTTTCTGTTTTACGTGTTCTTTCTTCTATTTTACACATGTTATGTTTAAAAGCTATAAAAGTAGCTTCCACGTCTTGTGGATATTGAATGATTAAAAACTCTGGACCTAAATTTCACTGTATCACTAATCTGATGCAGTAGAATGTGAATTCTTAATCTAGATAGATAGTGATTTTTAGACATTGTTGTGTATAAGTAGCACCAGAGGGTTTAATACAATACAGGGATGGCTGAGATCCATCAAGACCTCAGGTGCAGACCAAGAATATGAATTTTTTTTTTTTGGTTTTGCTTTGGGTTTAATATTTGCTATCAGTTTCACATTGCGGGAGTATCTACTTCATTCTAGAGGCATCTCTGACCCTGCATAAAGTATAATGGAGTCTATATGGGTCTTGAAGTGGTGAAACCTCCATTTCCAAGGAATATGAATTTTGAACAAGCACCACAAATGATACTAGTGCAGCCAGGCAGTCCATGGATGATATTTTGAGAAACTAATTCCATTATCCATTCAGGGAAAGCTTTAGTCTAGTTTTCTAACAACAAGAAGGGGAAAAAATTTTTTAAGTGACAACGGACATCCAAGAACCCTGCTGCTGTTGCTTGCAAAAATTGTATCATTGATGTCATCTAAACCTTGCAAAGCACACCAGGTAAACATGGGGAAGGAATTCTTAAACTTTGAATTATCCCTATACTTCCACATTACCATTTAGCCTGATAATCATTATTTTACCTTTATTCTCTAAAAACACGTCAACCCATAAGGCCAGAAAGAGATCTAAAAAGTCATCTATATCTTATCTGTTTCTTAAAATATTATTTTATGGCTTTCCCTATCACTACAACAAAGGAACAAATGAGACAGCAAATGCCAGAGGGTCTTTTTCCCCACCAATATTTTATTAAATAGAAAAAGGAAGTGGTGGCCAGGCGTGGTGGCTCACACCTGTAATCCCAGCACTTTGGGAGGCCGAGGCAGGTGGATCACAAGGTCAGGAGTTTGAGACCAGCCTGGCCAACATGGTGAAACCCCATCTCTACTAAAAATACAAAAATTAGCTGGGCGTGGTGGCGGGCACCTGTGATCCCAGCTACTTGGGAGGCTGAGGCAAGAGAATTGTTTGAACCCAGGAGGGGAGGTTGCAGTGAGCCAAAATAGTTCCATTGCACTCCAGCCTGGGCGACAGGGCAAGACTCCGTCTCAAAAATAAATAAATTAATTAATTTTTTAAAAAGGAAGTGATTCTACCCGTATAAACACAGGACTGGAAACGTACCTTAACCAGATATAACTGGGAAAGGGTCTTAACTGGGTATAACATAAATTCCCATTTATTTATCAATGAAAAATTTAACATGCCATCACTTATATGATTTTATAATATTTACTTTCATTGTTCTCTTGTATGGATTATACAAAAGATGGAATCTGTTTCTTAGCTGTATGGCAAGCCCATATTGAGCATGTGTACAATAACGTAGACTAATTGTGTGTTAGGTACTTACATGGATGTGGTACTATATAAAGTGATGATTAGCATAATCTAAGAATCTTAAACCTAAAAATAGAGATCTGACTGATACTCTTTCTCTCCCTCTGTCACATATCTTAGATTTTACACGTGAAGAAAGGATGTCTCAGAGGAGTTAGAGAAGACCAATTAATAGACAGTGCTAAAGCCTGGATCTCCTGAATCCTGGGTGAGTATTCTCATTGTCTCTACTGCCTCTCCAATGCTAGCCTGCCAGCCCTCATCAAAATTATGAAGTAGGCAAGCTTTGTTTTGGGGGGAGTTTAATCTCCTTTTAGTGTGGTTCTCTTCTGAAGCATCCCTTCTTTTGATATACCTAGCATCTTTGTGTTTTATCTTGAGAAAAATACTCACAATGTATTTTGACTTTAAATCAGTCTACTACATTTCTTCAAAGTATTTGTACTTTTAGGGTAGTAGTAGAAACAGACTACGGAAATAATGTCCTTTCCTTGGCCATGTGCTCTGCTTTGTGTAAAGAAAGCTCTGCACCTATATGAGTTTAGAAATGAAAAATAATAAGATAAAGAGTAAAGAGTAAGCCCAAGTGAAGGCACATTGACAAAACTGAGTTCCCTCCATCAAATTTAGTGCAGCTTTCACTCGATATGTTAGGACTAAAGATTTATGCCAAAGAAATATATGTGTATATTGGTCATTTGATTGGATGTAGTAACAAGGAGACAATCATAACCTTGTATCAATCCAGATTTAAAATAAAGTTTATGTTAATCCATTTGAAAATATTATGCTGAGTACTATATTCTAGTATAACGTTCTAGAGCAGAGGTTGGCAAACTACAGCTGCAGGACAAATCCAGTCAGTTGCCTGCTTTTGTAAATAAAGTTTGTATTAGAATACCGCCATGCCCATACGTTTACGTATTGTCTGTGGGTGCTCTCATGTTAGGACAGCAGAGTTGTGACACAACTGTATGGTCTGCAAGTCCCCAGATATCTACTATTTGACCCTTTACAAAAAAAAAGTGCCAATTTCTGTAGGACTTGGATGATATTAATATGACCTGGAACAATATAGATAACTTCCCATGTTTTTGAAGCTTATATTTCAATGAGAGGAAGAAGACAATAAACAAGTCTAGATAGAGAAGTATCATGAAGAAACAGTATGATGATAGAGTGACTTGAGGGTAGCACTTTATTTTTCTAAGTTTTTGCTTTTTAAACTTTTTATGTATTTTCATTTTTATATATTTAATGCATACAAGTGCAGATTTCTTTTTTAATTATTATTTTTTTTTATTTTACTTTAAGTTCTGGGATACATGTGCAGAATGTGCAGGTTTGTTAATAGGCATACGTGTGCCATGGTGATTTGCGGCCCCTTCAACCCGTCATCTAGGTTTTAAGCCCTGCATGCATTAGGTGTTTGTTCTAATGTTCTCCCTCCCATCACCCCCCAACCCCAACAGATTTCGGTGTGTGATTTCTTATATGCATATTTGCATATTGGTGAAGTCTGGGCTTTTAGTGTACCCATCACTAACTAGTGGGTATACTACCCAATAGGTAATTTTTCAACCCTCCTACCCCTTCTACCCTCCTGCTCTCCCACCCTCTGACCTGTTAAAGTCTCCAGTGCCATCCGCATTGCTGCAAATCACATGGTTTCATTCTCTATGACTGACTGGTATTCCAGGGTGTGTGTATGTATGTGTGTGTATGTGTATACATTTTCTTAATCTAGTCCTCCATTGATGGACACTTAGGTTGAATCCCATATCTTTGCTATTGTGAATAGTGCTGTGATGAACATACAAGTGCAGGTATCTTTTTGATATAATTATTTCTTTCCCTTTGGGTATATACCCAGTAGTGGGATCGAGGGATCAAATAGTAGTTCTATTTTTAGTCCTTTGAGAAATCTCCATACTGTTTTCCATAAAGGCTATACTAATTTACATTCCCACCAACAATGTATAAGCATTTCCTTTTCTCTACATCTTTGCCAATCTGTTGTTTTTTGACTTTTTAGTATGGCCATTCTGACTGGTGTAAGATGATATCTCATTGTGGTTTTAAAATGCATTTCTCTGATGATTAGTGATGTTGGGCATTTTTTCATGTTTGGTGGCCACTCATATGTCTTCCTTTGAAAAATGTTGGCCGGGCGCGGTGGCTCATGCCTGTGATCCCAGTACTTTGGGAGGCCGAGGCAGGCGGATCACGAGGTCAGGAGTTCGAGACCAGTCTGGCCAACATAGTGAAACCCTGTCTCTACTGAAAATACAAAAAATTAGCCGGGTGTGGTGGTGTGCGCCTGTAATCCCAGCTACTTGGGAGACTGAGGCAAGAAAATTGCATGAAACTGGGAGGCAGAGGTTGCAGTGAGCCAAGATCGCACCGTTGCACTCCAGCCCGGGTGACAGTGTGAGACTCTATCTCAAAAAAAAGAATAAAGTCTGTTCATATTTTCTGTCCATTTAAAAATGGGATTATTTGTGTGTTTTTTGAGCTATTTGAGTTCCTTATAGATTCTATATATTTGCCCTTCGTCAGATGCATAGTTTGCAAATATTTTTTCCTATTCTGTAGGTTGTCTGTTTAATCTGTTGGTTATTTCTTTTGCTGTGCAGAAGCCTCTTAGTTTAATTTAGTCCCATTTGTCTATTTTTTGTTTTTGTTGTGTTTGCTTTTGAAGACTTGGTCATAAATTGTTTGCCTAGGCCAGTGTCTTTTAAAAGAGGTTTTTTCCCAGGTTTTCTTGTAGGATTTTTGTAGTTTCAGGTCTTACACTTAGGTCTTTAATCCATCTTGAGTTAATTTTTGTACATGGTGAGAGGTAGGAGTCCAGTTTCATTCTCCGGCATATGGTTATCCAGTTTCTCCTGCACCATTTATTGAAGGAGGTGTCCTTTCCTTGGGAAGAACACTGTAAACAGGATGGTCAGGAAAGACCCCTAAGCACATAGTATCTAAATTGAGATACCAGTGATGCAAACAAGCCAGCCATGAAGCCATGAGAAGATGTACGGGAAATCCTTCCTGGAGAAGATAACAAATGGAAACACTTTGAAACAGAAAAATCAGGCTTCTTTGAGGAACAGGAAGGTAGCCAGTGTGTCTGGAAAGTGTGAATCATCAGGGATTGTAGTGAGGATGCAGGTCCATCATCCTCCTGACCAAATCCTATAGATAGAGATCCATGTGTTTGTTGACACCGTGGCCACTGGTCCCTGCTCTGTTGCTATGCCTTTGAGGACCTCAGTCCTAAGGAATCCAGGTCCTGGCAGAACATTTTCATGTGATGTTTACTAGTCAGCTGCATTTATCCTAGATTAAAAAATCTAATGGGGGCCATTACTTTGTACTTTTGTAGCCATTTGACTTTATCGTTCATCTTTTTGTGACGCTCACTTAACTGATCTTATTTACGCATTCTTGCACTTTACCGTTTTGTCTTTCATAGAAGCTATTTTACTTAAATTGTCTTTGTTAATTTCTTTAAAAAATTTTTTTAAAATGTATTCATGGCAACTAGCACAGGCATAAAGTGGGATAGTGTACTTCACAAGGAAGGCAGTCCCTCGGCATGGCCTGCAATAGCCATCCCAATCCATACCACAGAGTGGCTGTTCCTTTCCCAGGTGTACCCCTCCAAGATTAACCCCACACAGTAGTTCTCCAGTCTATTTTTGTTGCAAACCTACTCTACAGCAAACTTGAAGCCCAGAATTCAACTGAGGAAGGAGAGAAAATGCTGAGAAAAATCTGACCATTTAGGTCTCAAGGAGGGCACACTGCAGGGACTCCCCCTTTCTGTTCCCCATTGTAAGTGTGATTGTGTGAGTGTGGGTGTGGGGGGGGGTGGCAGTGTGAAGCCACACATCCTCTTCTGCTAGAATGAGAGTAATGTAAATAAGAGACTAGATGAGCAACTCACAATTAATCGTTTTGAAGGCTATGATTTTTTGGCCTGTAGTTGGGCTGATCTGTAACTAATGATTTTTACATTATTGTAAATTTGGTTTTTTTAAAGAGATGAGATCTCCTTTTTTTTTTTGAGCTGGAGTCTTGCTGTGTTGCCCAGGCTGGAGTGCAGTGGTGGAATCTCAGCTCACTGCAACCTCTGTCTCCCAGGTTCAAGTGATTCTCCTGCCTCAGCCTCCCAAATAGCTAGGATTGCAGGCGCATGCTACCATGCCTGGCTAATTTTTGTATTTTAGTAGAGACGGGGTTTCACCATATTGGCCAGGCTGGTCTCAAACTCCCGACCTCAAGGGATCTCCCTGCCTTGGCCTCCCAAAGTGCTGGGATTACAGGCATGAGCCACCACACCTGGCCAAGATGGGATCTCCTTATGTTGCCCAGGCGGGGTCCCAAGCTCCTGGGCTCAAGGGATCCTCCTGACTCAGCCTCCTGAGAAGCCAGGATTACAAGTTCATGCTACCACAAATTATTTTCATTATTGTAAATTATTGATGATGTTATTGCGAATGTAGTTGGTGATAAAATTTACATGGATGCACAAAATTTAACAGACTCTTCCCTTGACTTTGCTTCACCTTAGACTGATTGGTCCTGCATTTTCTTTCTATTGTCATCAAGAACAAAAGCCTTCAATATGAAAACCCTATATGCCAACAAATAATCTACTCAAAAATTTTGTCAACTTCACCCTAAAGCAAGGAATTTAAATGTACTAAGAAGTCATCAGGTGGCCGGGTGCAGTAGCTCACGCCTGTAATCCCAGCACTTTGGGAGGCTGAGGCAGGTGGATCACAAGATCAGGTTTTGAGACCAGCCTGGCCAACATGGTGAAACCCCTTCTCTACTAAAAATACAAAAAAATTAGCTGGGCGTGGTGGTGGGCGCCTGTAATCCCAGCTACTCGGGAGGCTGAGGCACGAGAATTGCTTGAATCTGGGAGGTGGAGGTTGCAGTGAGCTGAGATCGCACCATCGCACTCCAGTCTGGGCGACAAGAGCAAAATTCCATCTCAAAAAAAAAAAAAAAAGAAGTCATCAGGCTAATAAAAATAGCTAGAAAATAGAGGCTTATTTAAACATAGCTAATGCATTATTATATTTGTCCTAATTGGTATTAAATGAGAATACAAAATAAGAACAGTCTCAATGTAGTTAACATTTTATCTTTCCAGTAAATTGGTCCATTAACCTTGTAGAAGAAATAGAGATGACGAGTCTC